ATTTCACTTTTTTTTTTTCTTTTTAAATTTCTTGCTACGAAGGGATTTGAATTGCTTATGCTGCTGACTGCTCGCATTTTCGCCGTTTACTGTCAAAAAAGGCTTTACGGGGTAGTAATGCAAGCTGAGAAAACAAATAAAAGAAAAAAAGCACCTGTACTGTGTGTACGTAGATATACTATGAATTGTATAAATGTTCAGGTGGTTTTATTTTATTTTTTTTCTGTGATGAAAACCCTTTTTCTATTCGTTTTTTCTTTCTTCTTTCTTTGTTGTTTTCTCTACCCATTATTACATAAAAAAAAATAGTATAGTAGCTTTTGTTTTTTTTTTTTTGTGTGTGTGTGTGTGTGTGTGTGTGGTAGATATAATAAATATATATATATATTTATTTATTTTAGATAGATAGATTGATTGATAAACCTTTGCCATTTACTAGAGAGAGAGAGAGAGAGAGAGAGAATCTGATAAATAGTTCTCATTACACAGATTACATTCATCTGTTCATGACGGCGGATGATGTCTGGAAGCCATATGTACCGTGGTAGTATGTCGGTGCTGCTGCAAGCAATCCTCACTCAAGCATGTCGAGCGATTTTAGCTTTTTGTCTAGTCAAACAACAACGAAAGTTAATGAATAAAAAGTTAAGTGATGTTGTATGTGCATATGTCTCGGAATCAGAGGCATCATCCATCATTGAAAGTACAGGGAAACATGCGCTTCTCACGGCAGTACATTTGCTTTGCTGTGAACAACGACCACATATGGTATGTGAACATCATAATGGAGAACTTGCTATTGCTGTGAATGCTATTTTAGAAGATTATCCTCTACGTTCTAATATTATTACTGCATTAACGGGATTTATTACACGAAAATGGGAACATAGTGAAGTCTCTATTCATCGTTTACTTTCTTACGCCGTATCCGTTGGTCCTAAATGTCACACTTTAACCTCTTCTTCTATTGTAGATTATAGATCATCTCCTATATCCTTGTTGTTACATGTTTACCCTGAACTCGCAACTACCAACTCTGTATCGGAAGTGAGTTGTGGTTGTATGCATCAATGGTTTAGGGAAACACTTCCATTGCTGTTGCTTACATTAACAATGGAACAACATGCCAAGATGTGGTATCGAACTTCTCTCTTATCACGTGCGTTTTTACGATGGAGACAGTGTCATGGTATGTATCTTTTACGGGCTCTTGCAGCAGGAAGTTACTCCCCACCTCCAATAGAGATGTCCACGCAGGCACCAAGTACAGTAAGGAGTAATCTTCGTGAAGGAAACTCTGCTCTTCTTACTTCTTTTGATGTTTCTTCTACTCCTGTTATTATACATGTTCCTACTTCTGCTCCTTCGCCTGCTCCTGCTACTATTTCTAATACGGTTAGTGTTCCTGTGCCTACTGTACCAAACGTCTCTTGTGCCTCTACGAATACAGATTGTGTAGTGGGGTTTACGCCGCAAAAGTCAGTTGAAAATTCCAGTAAAAAATCTACGGCAGTGCAAACAACAACAACAACAACAACAACAACGGCAACAATTCCCTCCGATACACCACTACAAATTGTAAATATGGAAAATGTGAAGACAGATAAAATTCAAACTACTAGTAACACAAGTATGAATAAGAAGATAAAGAAGAAGAATAATAACGATGGAGAAATGTTAAAGACGTTTATTCACCAATGTGATCAACTTGTTGCGGAACGAGTTAAACGTCAAACATTTTTCTTCTGGCGTGATGTACGCCTCCTGCGACGGAGACAACTGCAGGAACTCATACATAGATTTACTTTACGACACAAGCAAAGATGGTGGTTACTCTGGAAACGTCAATATACGGCTCATCTATTGCGTAGACGGAGGGTATTAGCAGATGAACAGTGTTCTGTTTATATAGAAGCCAAGAAAGAGTCTTTACGACGATACGCCTTTTCATGCTGGAAACATGCATACATGGTAAGACGTTTTCGTTTACGTACTTGTGGCTTCCGAATTTTTTCCATGTGGAGACGTCATTTTTTATTTTCCCTTCATGCACGTGGAGCGGCGGTGCCTTTCATCGCCTCCCGAGCGCTTGCCCTTCGTTGTCTTTTGCGATGGCGACTGGCGCGTCTTTGTCGTCTGGCGGACCGCCGTTTTCTGCGGGGTTTTCTCGAGCGGCTTCGCGGGCGACTTTCGGTTCGGGCGGCGGGGCGGCGGGGGGCGGCGGCGGCGGCCTTCGCGCGGGGCGTTTTTGTCCGCCGGCGGGTCTTCGCGCAGTGGCGGGCCGCGTGCGGGTCCCACCGGCGCCTCACCGCCGCGATCGCCCGGCGAGACCGACGGACCGCCGCCCGCGCGCTGAAAAAATGGCGCATCGCCACGAGAAGACGGGCCTTAGAGGCCGAAAGAGAAAACATCACCCGCCGACTTCTTTGGGAGAAGTGGAGACGACGGGCAGAAATGCTGAAGCGCTGGCGTAGTCAACACTACACACACGCAGAGGAAGTGTATGCCGGACGGCTCTTGCGAGGGGTGTGGGGGCGGTGGTGGGAGAGATATGAGAAGGCGCGGCTCCAGCACCAACAGCAGGAAGTAATCACCTGGTTTGCCGCAAAGGGACACACAAACGCCTCATTAGGTGTAAACTCTAGTTTTCCAGCTCCAATGGAGTCAGTGCATAATAATAGTAGTAATACTTTTCTGCCACAGCGTAAGATGGAGAAGCGTGGTCTTTCTGTTTCTTTTGCGGAATTGAAACGTAGTCCACCGCGAAAAGATCCACTTGCAGTTCTTAGGGCAGAAAGACGTTTACTACATGAAATGAATTCGACTCAGTGGCAGAATCTGGCACATTCACGTTTGTTCAATAACAGTAACAATAGTAACGTCACCAAGAAGTATTACCATCATCACCATGAAAAACAACATCAAGAAGAAGAAGAAGGGTCAGAGTGGAAAAGAAAGGGTGGTGATGATACGATGGTTATTATGATGCCATCAGACGTGGAGGATGACAATTCACCATCATTCGAAAATAGTCGTCTCTAATCGTTGAGGAAAAAAGAACAAAAAAAAGGTGTGAATCATGAGGAACTTTAGGTGTGTTGATACACTATTAATATGCTTCTGCTGATTCCTGATGACCTTAAAGACGACAAAATAATGCGTTTATTCGTATTGAAGTTGAATGGTTCTTTCTTTATGTTTTTTTTCCTCCTTTCTTCTTGGTCTTTTTTTTATGGTAAACATTCACATGGTTTTTTTTTTTTGTGTGTGTGATTTCTTTCCCTCTGTCTGAGTATGCCTATACCTCCTTCCTATTTGGAGGTGGCTTCTGCTTTTTCTTCTTCTTCCTATTTGTTTGTACTTTGGTAACTGTATCTATTTCTTTTTTTTTTCTCCTTTTTTTTCTCTACATTCTTTGTATTTAGTCTTGTTCTGGAGTACTTCACCAGGGCAATCAATTTTTTTCTGCTGTGTCTGTGTGTGTGTGTGTGTGTGTGTTTTGTCTCGTTTTCTTTTTTGGGTTTGGGTAGGTGCTTTACGCGCTCTGTAAAGCTTAACAGCAGCAGAAGCAGCAGTGGTGACGATAACAATACAATTGTTATCGTTATCTGCACCAAATACGAGCAAGGCATACACTGAAGACTTATCAATCTTATCTTGTGTGTGTGGTTTTTTTTATATATATATTTATTTATTTAGTGTGCTCGTCTGTACTTAGTTGCGCTTAGTAGTTCTTGTGTCTTGGTTTTCTCACACTACGAATAGAAGTAGAAGTGAGTAGAAATACCAAGAGTAGTAAATAGAAGAAGAAAAAAAAAATAATAAAGGAGAAGCACTTAGACTAAAACGTGAAATCCCGAAAGTTAATTTCCTAAGTGTAATACACCATTTGCGTTTGGAATTTTTTTCTTATATAGAATCAGTCTGGATCATTTATTTATCCTTATAGAGTAACTTTGTAGTTGTTGGTTAGGTTCATTTATTATTACTATTATTGTTATTGTTAGTCCCTTTTCATCCGGCCCATATATATATATATATATTCTCACTGTGTTAACCCCCCTTTTTTGCTGAGACAGTGATTTTATTTGTTTCTGTTCCTGTCTTTGAGTATTCTTTTTATTTGCTACCCCGTTATTCACATCTGATATTCTCCCATGCGACGTTGTGTGGGAGCGGCAGCTATTGCAGCAACTTCCTCCATTCATCCTGCATGGCGCGGTGGTGTGCCAGTGATGGGAGGAGTTGCCGTGTGGAACTCCATGTACTTTCACTCATCATCAAAGTTCATTGGACGTAAAACGGGTGGATCAAAGAAACTTGGAGACGTCTTATCTTCTTCAGCAGCATCAGCGGCAGGAACCTCAACAGGGGCGGGAGGAGGCGATGCTGTGGCTGCAGCGGAAGAGCAAAGCAGTACCAATAATCCAACTACCACTTCTTCTTCTTCCTCCTCTTCTGCTTGTACGGCTGCGGCGGCTGCATCTAGAGATACAGATGGACGAAAAAAACAACGTGATCGTTATCCACGAAAGTCTGTACGTAATCCCACCGAACGTGCCACGGCATCTTCGCGAGGAAAAGAAAATACACAACTTCGTAGAGAAGCCTCTTCTGGGTCTGTAGGTGGAAAGCGTGCTGTGGCTGCTGCTGCCGCTGTGGCTGCGGTTGCTACTGCGGATTCTGCCAATGATGAGGCGACGCTGATGGCGGAGCGTGCGAGTATTACGAAACTCTTCATGGTGTCTGACTCTGTTGCCTCCATCTTCTGCGCCCTTCCGCAGGACCAGCGCTCGATTGATAATTATCTCAAAGAGGTGGATCGCGCGGTTGTGCCTTCGGCGGCTGATGGGAATGCCGTGGATGGTGAAGAAGCGGCTCGGCAACAAGCGGCGTCTATCGCCATGCGGGAAATTGCTCAGCGTGTGTTATCAGAAGAAAGGGCCGATCACTCACTATGCATTCATGTACGGAATATGGAACAGTTGGTGCCCCCACCACATTTGATGCTGGATGCAGAAAATAATAATAATAATAATAATAATAATAATAATAATGTTAAGGCAAGTTCGGATGTGGGTGTTGCTTCTACAGATGCTTCAAATAAGAAGAAGGTAGCAGATAAGAATCGTCGTCGGGTTACTTCGAAACGTGGGAGTAAGGCTACTGCCTCTCCTCCTATTATTAATCCCACTGAAAGTGAAAAGTCACTAACTGTAGTTGAACGTGTTATGGCACTACAAAAGTGGCAGGCAGAGGCGGCTAAAAAGGCCCGAGAGTCGCAGGAACGGTATAAGATACCAGATGATTACCACACAATCACACGTGTTCGCTTTCATGACCCGCATAAAGCTGATCTCACCGTTGTGCAAGGTTGTGGTGGTAGTAAATCTGTAATGGATGTCTTGTCGGCGATGAATCGTAATATGAAACATCAATCTAGTGATGGAGTTAATAAAAATATGTCTTCAGGGAATAATAGTAACAATACTAATAACAAGGAGTCCGCTGCAGCACTGCTCTCTACACCATTTGCCCTTAAACCGCTTCTCTCCGTTGTGGCGAGTTGTATTCCACGACGAGAGTCTTCACTGGGTTCACGATGCGGTGAAGAGGTATTTTTCAGTTCTCCAGCATACACCACACCTCGTCGACTAAAACGTCAGGAGTGTGGTGATACTAATACTAGTACAGATTATAATAGCTCTTCTACTACTGCAGTCTCCTCATCATCATCATTGCCATTTTCTTCCTCAATGATGCGTGAAGAGGAACTTTTAGCTCGTCGACTTCCACCCATGCCGCGATATACAACTCGGGTGACTGTCTTGGTGGAACATGATGAGTTGCAGCCGGTGGATTTGTTGTCAATGGCTGAGCGGAGCACAACACGTCGTGATGATCGCAGTAAGTCATCATCCGCCTCGACAACAACAACAACAAAAATAGGTGGAAATAGTAAGAAAAAGAAGAAGTGTCACATTTACTGCTTAATAGCAGATGGAGGTGAATTCTAAAGGAAGAAGTCAGTGAAAAAAATGAAAGTTTGCTGAGAAATGATATAATAAAGTGAAACAAAGCAAAAACAAAAAAAAAAACACAAGAGAAGAATCACCCTTGATAAAAGAGTGAAGAAAATAGAAGGGGGATGGATTGAGCAATAATATTGGATATTATTTATTTCCTTCAATCTGTCCTATTTATTAAGAGAACCAAATGTGCATAGTGAATGTAAAAACATATGTACAGACGTGTATGATCGCATTTTTTCATTTGCTTTTCCATTTTTCCGTAGTCTCTCATTATCCTTGCAAAATAATTATTCCACCAATTACCATTACTGTTGTTATTTCCATTGTACCTCAAGACTGTGAGCGAAACGTCTTATTCCATTTATCCAACCGAAAAGGCAGTGAAAAAAAAATTGAAATAATGATAAACAAAACAACAAGAATAAAAAAATCAAGAATAAAATGGAATATAAAGAAAGCATAGAGCAAAAAATAAAAAAAAAAGAAGAAAAAGAAAAATGACGTCCTTATTGTCTTGTTTTTTTTTTTCTTTTTGAGTGTACGCATGTACTTAATTGTACATGTGTGTAAGTGTGTGTTTTTCTACACGCCAAGAGAGTAGTAGTAAAGGGAAGGGAAAATACACTAATTGAAGAAGTAATCCATAAAGGAAAAAAAAAGAGAAAACTGATAATATTATCTGTTTTCTGATGATGATGGGTCTTTCTTTTTTTTTTTTTCTCTCTCATCTTTATTAATTCGTTTTAAGAAGTGGTGAAGAGGGGTGGGGTATTGATGCTTCTCATTTTCTTTTTTTTTTGGGAGGGGAGAGCGCCTCTGTGTAAGTGTATAAAGGTATGATTTATATGAATTTTTCCTTTGCATATTTGAAGGAATAAAAGATAAAGAAAAATATATTTTGAAATGTGTACTTTTCTGTTAAAGTCAAGTATAAAAAAGAAAAAAAAGGAGGAAAAAAAAAAGAAGTAAATAAGGAAGAAGTATGTGAAATACGTGATCTATGAGGAATTAAGAACAAAGCCAATGAATATCTTTTTAGATGTCTTACTTCCTCTTATTAACCTCTTTTTTTTTCTTTTTTTTTGTTTCCTTATATAAATATGCATGTATAATCGTTTGTTTTTGTACTGTTTGGTGATTTAGTTTGATTAGCTTCTTTTTCATTTTGGTTATTGCTTCTTTTTTTTTTCTTGTTTTTTTTTTTTTCTTATTTCGTTCTTTTCATTGCCGAGGGAAGGAAAAAAGGAGTTTTTTTTTCCGTTTATTATTGCTCTTCTATCGTGTCCGTGTGATACACAGGGAAAGAGCACCTTTTTTTATCTTTTTTCTACGTGGTCCCTATATTTTGATAGTAAAAGAAGAATAAAGTATATTTAATCTCTACGTTATTGATAATGTAAGAACTGTACTCGCACCATTCGGTGTGTTTTTTTTTTTTTTCTTTTTCTTTTTCTTTAAGAAAAGAACAAGTAAGGAAACAATGTGAACATCTTTGGTGCGCAGGCTATAAAGAGGAAAACAAAAAAAATGTAATATCTCTTTTTATTTATGTATGCTTGTGTAGATGTTTCTTCTCATGTTTTCTTGATTTCTCTGTCTTCTATCATATTCTCACCTTTGCTTCAATGTGCTATGGTAATCAGAGGAATAAAAAAACAAAAACAAAAAAAATTGTTGTGTAATTAAAGGGGGAACCTTCTATTTGGCACTGCTTTCTTTTTTGGTTTTTTTTTGTTTTTTTTTTTTTTTTCCTCTCTCTCTCTCTCTCTCTTCACCCATGTATATAGAGATACATATAAAAAGAAAGAAAGAGTTACCTATTTATCTGACTATATATATATATATATATATAGTTTCCCCCGTTTATTTTTCTTACTTCTCATTTATTCTGAGTGAGTGAGTGAGTGAGTGGATGGCCGAGTCGCCCACTCCGCCGGGGGAGTCCAGCAGCCCCTCGCCGGGCCGCCGGCAGCTCCGCGTGAGCATTCTCCCCCCGCCCAGCGACCAGCAGCGGCCGGGCAGCAGCGAGGGGCGCCGCGAGACCCCAACGGGGCGTACGGGCCGCGCCGGATCCGCCGGGCGATCGAACAGTAATTCCCGCTCGCTGAGTCGATCGCCGGTGCGAACACCGTCAGCGGGAAAAAACTCACCAGGGCGCTCTTCCGCATCCGTTTCCTCAAGATCCACCGCAACACCGGAACCGGGAAGAAAGGGAAAAGGATCATTATCAACATCATCCGCAGCAGTGGCTAGTACAAATTCTACTTCTACAATGAGAAAAAAAATTAATACACCCTCACCACGAGGAAGACAACCTTCCGCTAAATCCGGTACAACTAGACGAAGTTTAAGTCCTACAGTTTCAACTTCCAATTCTTTACGTCGTGCTTCACACGATTTGCGAAAGCGAAAAATTCGAAAAGCTATTAATTCATTAATTACTGCTGAAGAGAAGGCACGTGGGAAAGTAGAAACACAGTATTATGCAGAATGGGTAATTATGATGCAAACTATAGCCCTTGATAGTTTTGATGCACAGAGACGTTTTATTATGGAACTTGGGGAAACACAAAAAAGAATACAACGTGAGTATGGTGCAAGAGCAGAACGTGCAGAAGAAGCTACGGCGAAGTTAATAAAAGCCATCAATCACTTACTTGAATCTATAAATACAACAGGTACTAAAGCACTTGAAGAAACAAATTTACTTGAGAAGGAAATACCGTTTACAACATCCACTTATACTCCAGTGGGGGAAATATTATCATGTGCAAAGGATCCATCATCATTATTACGAGATCCTTATGTACCTGTTAAACCACGAGACCCACGAGAACCAGAAGAAATTGCAAAGATAGAATCTTTCTTTAAGTCTTTCATGAAACCAACAGTTCCTCAATCTACAAGTAATACTAACGACGAAAATAGATATGGCGGTAGTATTAATGTGAATAGTAATAATAGCTATAGTAGTTTTATGAGTTTTTCTTCAAATGTAGATGTTAATAGTGTGGTGGTAAAAGCAGATGAAGCATATAATGAAGCAGTTCATCTATCAGAGGCTTTATCTGCCCTTATTGATCGTACTCACCGTGGACTTCAACAATCTAGAGAAATGATACGAGCACTACATCAAACTCTTAATGAAAATTCTACACGTGTAAAAGTAGCAGATGATCTCCTACGTGAAACAACTGGAAAACATCGTGCAGAAGTAGATAGTGCAATTCGTCTATGTGGACAATTTGGAATGGAACTTCGTCGTCGTATGGATAGCATAGAAGAAAATGTTCGTGATGCTTTAGATGAACTTATTCAACGTAGTACAGAGATAAGTATTGAAAATAATGCTTTTCAAGATCAAGCTCAACTCTTACTGAATAAGGAAAATGCAATGTGGAAATATATGTCCCGTATGGAGAAGGTAACAGTAGAACAAGGGAAATTACTTCGTGATGTTCGGTTAAAGTTATTACAGCTCTGGAAAGAACGTTGTGGTGATGGAGATGAGGAACGGGCAACATTAAAACACAGTGGACTTCCCACAAAGTATCAAGATCTCTTGGAATCATGTGATCGAGATACACTATTACGTCTTTTACATTTTGTTTCATTGAATGGTGATGGTGTGGCGGCTCTTTTGATCGGTGCACTTGACGAATATGCGAATTTTATGCTTAGTAACACTATAGAAGCTCAGGAAGTAGTAAAGCGATCTGCCACGCAGGCGGCTGTGACTCAACTACTGGAGAAATTATATGAAGAAGGTGAAATTAAGTGTAATTCACGTCCCATTGGGGAAACACTCGCGGATACTATTAAGGATATGGTATTACACTACAATACATTCATGGAAACACAAGAGAAACAACAAAGACGTTTGACAAAAACGAAATCTTTACCATATGGAGGAGGAACAGTAGGAATAGGAGGAGGAGGTTCTGTAATGACCCAAACTGCATTTTTTGATCGACGTACACCAGTACCGGAGGAGTATGCGGTTGATATTGCCTCACGTCCATCCATTAAGATCAAACGACCAGCCATTTGTGAAGGAAATGCCACCCGCAATGCAACAGATGAATCTACAGATCCAAACTCCATGGTATACACTGCTTCCCTTCCCACTATAAAGGCACAAGCTGATTCTACTCCTGGTGGGACTGCTCTTATTAGGAAGGCAACACCGCCCATTGAGACATCTCACATATTAAGTTATTTGCAACGAAGTCATCCATCCGAGTTGGACACACCAGGAACTGCGACTATTGTGGGATATGGTCGATGGGGAGGAAAAATGGCAAAACACTGCGAAAATAATAATCATGGTAATAGTAATAGCAATAGTAGTAGTAGGAATAGTTTCAGCAGAGGCATCAGTAAAAGATCTCCATTGCCACCAGCAACTTCCTCACATGTAAGTGTACATCAGTTCTTGGGAAAAACAGAAAATCCACCACCTGGTGTACCACCAAGGAAAACCATCCTGCGGCATATGCTGGAAGATCACTCTCATGATGTGGAGACACTATTTAGTAATCCCAAAATCCAATGTAAATGTATTCGTGGTGAGGATGAACCGTTTCTTAAACTCCAGCGAGAACTCTTTGAGGAGGCGTTAAGTTAATTGGTTTATCCATCTAACGTTAGCGTCCAAAAAAAAAAAAACGATTTCCCACTTGTTCCTTTTTTTTTTTTTTTGCTTACCTGTAATGTAATAATAATTGGAACCAATCATGTTNTTTTTTTTTTTACTGTTTGCTTGTTTTGTGTGCTTTTCTTTTCTTTATTTTGGAATTTTTTGAACGATGATTTCTTGATACTTTCTCTATTTTGTTTGCTTACCTGTAATGTAATAATAATTGGAACCAATCATGTTTATAATTCTCTTTTTTTTTTTTTTTTGTTTTTGGTTATACCACATTATATTGTAGAATCTCAAAAAATGTATAGCTGTGGAAAACATCACTTATATAAAGTGTGTTTTTTTTTTTTTACTGTTTGCTTGTTTTGTGTGCTTTTCTTTTCTTTATTTTGGAATTTTTTGAACGATGATTTCTTGATACTTTCTCTATTTTGTCACCACCAGACGGTGGCTCTTATGTAATTCTCTGGTATTGTGTTTTTTTTTGTTGTTGTTTGTTTCTATTGTCTTATTCTTCTTTGGGTGAGACAATAATTGTTTAATCTCTTTGATGAAATTTATATATTTTCTTCCTTTAATTTGAATATCCTCTTTCCTTTTTCTTCTTTCATTCTTTCTTTTTCTTTACTGTATGAAAGCAACAACAAGACTCATACTCTATCCTTCCTGTTGTTGTTGTTGTTGTTAGCCAAGCCACCTGTCACACCTTCTGTATATTTATTTATTCATTTATAGTTTTTTTTTTCCTTTCTTAAATACAAACGAAAGGATTTATTACTATTTCTTTTCTGGTTGATTATTAGAATTCCAGTTTTATTATAAACATTATTATTAACATTATTGTAATTATTATTATTATTCGCCTATGCGTCGCTCACGAGTTTCTAACTCTGTTTGGAAGGTTCTACTGGAGGAATTGAGAAAGATACCCGCCCTGCTGCACTTTCACACACAGGAATCTGTAAATTCAGCAACAAAAGTATGTCAAACCCTAAAAGGTGAAAATCCCGATGAAAGTCCTGAATTACGAGAAAAGCGACAACAACATCGTGCCGCCTATGAAGAAATATTACGTCAGCAACAGCAAGAAGCGAAAAAAAAATCTGAGGAAGCCCTTAAAGATTTAAGTTTTGTTGAACGAATGAAAATGCGAGCCTCAGAGTTAAAAGAGGCATTAAAGGAATCTACTTCAACAAATGCAGGCGTGATGGCTTTATTACAACATTGCACCGCATCTCATGCAGCGGAAGTGGCTGTAGAGCAGGGCATTGATGTGAAGAATGTAACAATGCGATTGGAAAAGAAAACGGTAAAAAATGGTACACAGGTTGGACATGAGAATGTCGTTGTTGGATATATAGATGCCCCAAACGCTTCAGAGGAAGAGGTGATGGCCTTTGCTGAGAAATTAGAGAAGCGATGTCCTGTTGCTAACTCTATGGAAGGAAGGATTGAGTGGCGCAGTACAACTTCTACTAAAGAAAGGGGCATTAATAAAGAAGGTTCGATGGATGATAGAAACGATACGATTGGTAAAAGTATGGATCAGGAAAGTAAAGAGAGTATTCCACGTGGAACACCAGGGTATGGACGTTATAATACCTCCTCTACAAGGAGAGATTATGGACGGTTGGATGATCCTGATGAACTACATCTACCCGGTACTCATAAGCGTAGTGATGACACAAAGGATAAATAAAGCTAAAGGAAATGATATTTATTTTTCCATGTGTTGTATGTTTATGCCTCTTTGTATATATATATATATATATATATATATATGTGTGTGTGTGTGTGTGAGAGAGAGAGAGAGAGAGAGAGAGTGGAATCACGTGGATAAACCTATTCTCCCCTTATCTCTCTATTTCTCTTTCTCTATCTGTGTGTATTCGAAGAAACAATCGGAGGAATAAAAATTGTAAAGAAAAAAAAAATCAAAAGAATTGGAAAGGGGTGGAGAGAGAAAAACATGATAATGATGTTTATTTCTACTATTAATTCTTTAATGTATTTCTTGTAGGTTAAACTTCATATGTTTTCTATGATAATTTTTCTTTCTTTTTTTTTCTTCTTCTTATATTTTTTCTTTCTTTCTTTTAGAGTAATATTGGTCTTTTTTCTTTCTTTTACTTGGTTACGTTCTTCTTTTGTAAAAGAAAAAAAAAAGGCAGAGGTGGTGTTTTAAACTATAAAGTTATATAAACATTTTTTATAACTTAGGGTCTTGAAAGTTAGGGGAGTTATCTTTTTTTTTCTTTCTTCCTTACAATTGAAATCCCGTGAAGTCAAAACTAACAAAAGAAAAAATAAAACGAAAGAAAAAGGGAACTACTAACTGTGAAAGTAAACAGTAAAAGTAGTTTTTAAAGGTTAAATTACATTTATTTGATATTATTTGAACTTTGTTCTTGTGTTTATTTTTATATTTTGCACATAGACTCGTTATATTTATATATTTATCTATTGATATTTGTATGGTTTGTTAGTTAAATGATAGCACGGTTACGAAAAATATTCGTTTGTTGTGCGAATGGTCGAGATAATGCTGTCTTGACCCCGGAAGAAGCCGCAGCAGAAGCTGCAGTAGTAGCTTATGAGAATGAACTCATTCGTAGAAAATGTGTTGCTTCTCTTCTGCGCTCCTGCAGTGTTGAGAGCTCTGTGATACCACCACCCAAGTGGCGCAAACGGTATGGTAGACGTGTGCCCATTGGTCCAAATGGTGCTCTAGCACTTTGTGAGCATCTCCTGCGTCAACGTGAAGAAGAACAGGCAAATCCTACTACAAATCACACTAACAATAGAATTACACTTGATCTAAATGGATTACGAATAGGAGACGATGGGATTCGAGCACTTGTACCATTTATCTCCTCTGATGATCGTCTGGTGAGTCTAGTACTTTCTGGTAATAACATCACGGATGAGGGCCTTGGCGTACTTCTTGATGCCCTCGCAGGGAGTCCCAAAACTCTCCAGCGTCTTTCATTAGGTGATAATGCCATAAGTGCCGCTGGGGCTATGCGTGTGGTGGAGGCCTGCGGCAGTGGCCTGTTGCCGGCCCTCTGCGCGCTCTCCCTCAGTTCCCCCGCCCACCCGCCCGCCAAGCCGGAAAAGGAAGAAATGGCGTTGGCGGTGGGTCTCTCGCGGCTGTTGCGGGGCGACGGCTGCCCGCCCCTCGCGGCCCTCGACGTCCGCCACCCGATGGGCGACGCGGCGGCGGCAGTTCTCGCCGGTGGAGTCGCCGACGCCCCGCGGCTTGCGGCCCTCCGCCTGCGCAGCTGCGGGTTGAGTGCGGAGGGGCTCCGCCGCATCGCCGACGCCCTCGTCGCGAACCGAACACTCGTCGCCCTCGACGTCTCGCGGCAGACGGAGGCCAATCAGCAGCCGCAGACAACATCCCCCGAGAGGCCGCTGCTGCCCATTATAAAGGCCCTGCACAGCAATCACACCCTACGCACCCTCACCGCCTATGGAATTGATGTTGTGGATGACGACGTGGAGGAGCTCTGTGCCTGCGTGGAGCGAAGTGGAAACACCGCAATACAGTGTGTTCACCTTACCGGTGTCACCTCAAGGCCACTCGCTATTAAGTTGGAAAATCTTCTCATGCGTAATGCAAGGAGGATCAGTCATGAAGGCACTGCCTGTAGTAGGAAAAGTAGTCATCCTAATAGTTATACCATAAGTTCTGAGGTCAATGGAAAGGATAATGCTAATGCGGGGGCAAATAGTTTGCAGACAGTGGGGCCATCATTCCCAAAACGCTCAAAGATTGGAAGTTCAACTCAACGACGTACGCCAAAATTTAAGGAAAGAATTGCACTTGAAGGTATGAGTTCTCACAGCAATGTAAAGTTACCGCCTATTGGCAATAGTACTCTTACCTCAGTTATCTCTCTTCAGAATGATGATGGTGATGAAAATGAGATAAATGAGACACCCGAACGGTGTGGTCTCAACGACTCTATGAGTGATATTACTATGTCTTCAATGTCCTCCAGGTCGTGCAGCTTTTCACCAAAGGAGAATTTTGGACAACCACTGTATACTTCACGTCCATCGCTGTCAAAGCAAAAGCACAAGATGACGCGAACACTGCGAGGCGCATAGGTCTTTTCAGATAAGATACATCAGTAAGAAGAAGGGAAATACTAAAGAAAGAGAGAGAAAAAAAAAAAAAACGACATTGAGGAAGAACCTATTATGTTATTGAAATAACCAAAGGGAAAGCTATTGAAGAGAAACACCAAAGGGAGAAAAAAAAAAAAAACGAAGGATAATATTTGGTTGCTCTCTTTTTTTTTTTTTTTTTTTTTTTTTTTCTTATTCTTGTTTTTTGTTTTTTTAGTTTTTTACTGCCGAAACAATAGTGCTTGATTTGGTAAAGGGAAAACTATATAAGTGAATGTGTATATGTGTATAGATAAATGAAGTATTGACGGATAGAAGGAGTAATGAAAAAAAAAAAGGAACTATAAAGAGTAAAAAGAAGTCATACGTATTTTTGGGTGGGTCTTTCTGAAAACTTTGAGATCATTTATATGATTTTCTACTGTATCCCTTATTGTGTTTATTTGCGTTTCATACGTTTTTATTTTATTATTTTTCTTTTGGCTTGATTTTCATCGTTTTTTTTTTTTTTTATTATTCTTGTTGTTGTTGTTTTTCATGGACTCCCACTTATGACATTTCTTTTTTTTTTTCGTGATTTTGTGGGTTTTTTTTTTTGTTTTTATCCTTCTTACTCTTATATAGCTCTCCTTTGATTCTACTGCTTACTCAGGGTGGTAAACCAAGGATAGAACTATTTTCTCTGTCGCGTTTTGTTGTTGTTTGTTTGTTTTTTCTTTTCGAAGTCATGAGATTTACTTTGGGGTATTTCCCAAATTGATTACATGAAGAACAGAAGTAACGGAAGCAGCATATTTTATTATTATTGTCTTTTTTTTTGTTGTTTTCTTTTTTTTTTGTGTGTATGCCCGTATGATCTTCTTCTGTTCTTTCTTTTTTTTCTTTTCTTTTGTCTATCTTTACATGCATGACTCCCTTCTTTACTTCTTCTTTCTTTTTTTTCTTCCATTTCTGAACCGCATGCATTGAAACACTAATGATAAAGCCATTTTTGTGGGGACTGTGTGAGTGTGTGGAATTTGTTTTCTTTTGTTTTTCTTTCTTCTTTTCTTATTTATTTCTTATTTAAAGTTCCTGTAGATCTTTTTGGGGTGTGGTGGGGGTGGGAAGGAACTTTTTCCGTCTTTGTACGATTGCTGTCTGTCTGTATCTATCTATCTCTATAAGAGGGACCACCACTAAAGGAAAAGTTCACAAAAAGAAAAATAAAATAAAAGAGAAAAAAGAATATGAGTTGCCAGTGGGTGTTTGAGCGGCTGGCGGACGGTCTCTTTCTCGGGCCGCGGCACCCACTGCGGCATCTCTGCAAATTACACCGGCAGGGCGTCCTGCTGGACCGCAACGGCACTCCACTCACCGCCGATAATATACACACCGCCACAACATGGCGATCCCATCATGCATTTAGTGGACGCTGCGGACTCCGCGTGGATCAACAACAACAACAACAACAAGGAGAAGGAGAAGGAAAAGGAAAAGAAAGAGAAGATGAAGGAGAAAATTCAAAACAACAAACTTTGCAGAAAAATGCAAACAGTTATGGAGGTGGTGATGTGCCGCAACCAGAGACGGTATTAGAAGAATCTGGTGAAGCCATCGTCTCCCAATCGCCTGATGATTACCGTACATGGATTGCAGATTTTCATTTACTTTCAAAGAGTGATGAACCACATGTGTTGCTCTCCGTTGCGCCTCACTTTCTCCCTTTACAAGGGAATACTACAGAAGAGAAAGTATGGCATTCTCCAACGAAAGAAGATCAAGAAATTTATGATAAACGAATGTTAGAAACTCCACTTATTTGGGAAGAACCAATGACGCTTTCTGTAGATTGTACCTCTAATGGTATGTACCTCTGGAGTGAAGAGTGGGGATTCTTTGGAGAAAAAATTGCAGATAGTTGTTTTGAGCAACAAGTTCATAGACGTGTTGTGGGTGATTATCACAGTAATAATAGAAATGGAATACAAGAATCACTGCAACAACAAGAACAAATAGAAGAATGGCAACAGGAGAAATCGCATGAGGCCTTTGTGCGACTTAGTTGGCGAATGAAACCAGCAGGTGAACAAGATGCCCGTAGTGGTGAACACCGCTCATTACATGATTCAACATTTACTCACATTAATGAGAATTTTCAAAGTTATGGAGAAATGGTCGTTTTTGTGCGATCAGGTTCTTCACAAGATAATGTTTGCAATGATAGAAACAACGGTAGCACTGGTGGTGGTGGTGATGATGGGAATAGTGGTGGTAGTGGTATGTCTCTAGTGGTTTCAGCCATAACAACAACATTATTATCATCATCATCATCATCATCAGGAGGTTTGAATGGCTGTAAAGGAACTGAAGGAGGAGAACTTATTAGTAGTGGAAATCACGTTTGGCGGCGTGTGTGTGAACGTGTGGTGGTACTTAATGGAATTCTGCAGGAGATGCACTTTGTTCCATACGTGACACTCATGGATGACGGAGATGAAGTAACTATATTGTAAATATATATATATATATATATATATATATATATATATATATATATATTTATATTTATATTTATATATATGTTTATTTATGCTCAATTAGCATTCTTGACTCATACAGTTAGGATAATGCTCTTATTTGGGGTAGTGGCAGCATTCATTCTTCTTGTTCTTTATTTATTTATTTTTTTTTTTTTTTGGATCGGTCTTAGTTTGCTGTTTATATATACCCGTCTCGTTCTCTCTCTTTCTCTCTCCTTAGAGGTGTGTACCCGTTGACCCGAGAGACATTTGGTTATTCGTATTCACTCTATATAGTATCCGGGAAACTGAGAAGATGGGCTTACCTCTGTTCAGGTATATATAATCCTTCACACATGGTTGAATGTGAGGGTGTAGATGGTGTGTGTTATTTCTTCCCTCTCGCTCTCAATCTATCTGTCTATTTTTCTATCTTTCTGTAGATATAAATATAAACCAAAACTGTTTATTTTTTTTTTCTATTTTTTGAGTCTTCTTTTTATTATGTTGAATTGTATATTAGGATGGATAATGTAAGAGTTACTTTCTTTCTATCTTTTTACTAATTGATCCTCATTTCTCTTCTTGATATTTTTTTAGTCTGATTTCTTTTTTTTTCTGGGTTCTAAAGGAGGGAATAGAGGAAAAAAAAAAAAAGTACATATTTATATAAGAAAACTTTCTTTTTCTATAGCGGTATGGGGTGTAATAATGAAGTTAATGGGTCTTATCGTCATCGGTGGGTTTCTTTGGTGTGTGGTGTGCTTGCATTGTTATTCCCTCATTTACTCTTCACGGCGGCTCTTCTTGGACAGAACATCATGGCTGCATGTCTACTTGTAGTCCACCTCGCCTCTTCAACACGGTATGAAAACAATAAGCGAATACATCAACAAGAACAAGAACAACAACAACAACGTGAGAGTATTATTGAGGATATTTCTCCCATGTATGAATCGGAGATGAGTAGAGTGGATTTACATTTGTGGGTTTGGTTACCGCGAAAGCCGTTGCTGTATTTGACTATTATTTGCTCTAGTTTACAATTATTAATGGCTGCAGCTCTTGGATGGATGATGGATAAACCAAATATGATGAATATATGGATAAAGTCCGTTCTTCAAAGTTTTGGTGTTTGGGGAAAATCAAATGTGTTTTCTCTCGTGATGAATATAACAACTTCTGTTCTTTTAATAGTAGTAAGTGTACTATTATCTGTTATTGTTCGACGATATCATCTTCGTCCATCAAATCATGCAAATCGTTGTTTTCAACGTTTATCATTATTCTTTCTTGCCGTATTTACACTCTTCACATCCCTCGCCTATCCCTCGTATGAGTTTTTATTATTACTACTCATACATTTTCTTTCTATTATGCCGTTTCTTATCACGGGATTCTCTCGATTGAGAGTTCGTTTCCTTGAGGTGGTATGTAAGAGTTGTAGTTTGATATCGCTTCTACTACTCACAGCATGTCTTGTGGTCCAATCACCATTAGAGCAACAGGTACTTTTATTAATAATAACGAAAAATGATATTCCAAGTAATGAATGGAATGTGTTATGGTATGAAAAGAATTGGATTAATTTTTTTCATAGTTTTACGGTATTTCGTAAAGGCATTCAATTACTTTTATTATTCTACACTATTGTTGCCTCTCGGTATGTACATGGTAGTTGGAGTTGTATGAGAAGGGGTGAATGGACAGTACAGGCGGAGTATATAAATAAAGCCGCCCCTTTTTCGCTTTGGCAATTACTCCCATTAAAATCTCCAGCAAAAGTAAAGAAAATACAATTAGCGATTGGACATTACTTACCACGAGCAGTAATTATTCCATTATTATTAACAAGTTTAGCTATTATGGATCTTGTCTCTATTTTAATGTTAATAACATCCTTTATTGCCATTGTTCTCTCACCTGGTAAATTTGTTGCTGTTATCCCTGGTTGTTTAGCCGTAATAGCTGTTGGTATTTTACTTGAATATGTAGCTTCTGTTAATCATTCATTGAGGCAACCTTTTCTTATGTTCCGTGCCACTACAGATATCGCCGTGATTGGAATTCTTCTTCTTCATTGTTTTCTCTGCGCATTACTTATCTTGGTAGTGGCTATGTTTCGTGAGAATACCATTCAAAACTATTATCGAACTCTTCAAGAGAAGAAAATACATATTCGAAGTGCCTTCCATCGTCTAAAGCCACAATTAAAAGATCTGGAGGTTTTTTTCACAGATGTGTGTGATAGTAACAGTGGTCTGGTAGATCGCAGTCGATTCCCACAACTGGTAGAACATATCGCATATACATTACGTTTTCAGGAAAAAGATATAAATGCATTATGGCATTTCTTAACAGAAGGAGAACCCGTATTGTTGATGTTAAATGCCGATAAAAGGTTAGAAACTACTACTGATAATAATAATAATAATAATAATAATAATAATAATAATAATAATAATAAGGATTATCTTCACACTTCCGTGCAGTATTCAAGAAGGAGAAAAAGTATGAATGATGGTGATGGACAACATATACCCATCGACGCCCCATATAGAAAATCAAAAAATAATACCTCTATGACTAGTGGCAATAATAATAATAATAATAATAATAATAATAATAATAATAATAATAATAATACTGAAGAAGAAGAGGAAGATGTGAAGAAGTGGAATCGTTTTCGTCAACATATACTTGCCATGCAGTTAACAGAGACTTCAGAGAACACCTCAAAGGGAAGAGAAGTATATACAGAAGAGATAAGTTCCTCCAATCCATACCGACAGCGAAATCGAGCCACCTCCTTTTCTATTCATGCTGTTGGATCTCCTGGTGGTGGAGTTTCTTACTTTGATTTTCTTGTACTTGTGAGTGAAATAGAGTGGTTTCGAATGGAGGAGAAAAATATATTATATGTAGTCGCTTCCATGTTTCTACAAATATTTTTTCTTAACCTTTCAACACTTTCATTAGTTGCCATGTTTTCTGTTTCATTAACAATGCAAAATCTTGATCTTCTTAATGCGATGTATCTTTTTTTCTTTATTGGATTGGCGTGTTTACCACAGTATATACGTTATTGTTGGTCTTTTATTGTGGCCTATACAATTATACATATTACCATACTCTTTATCTCTATTACGTATAATGCGAATTATCCATCTACGGAAGGTTATCCTTATTGGACTCAAATGGTAGGTATTTATCCAGATAAGAATTCCTTTTCGTTATTATTATATTTTATTATTTTATTTTTGGCTGTACTTCAAATGCATTTATCTCGTTGTGAAAAAAGTGGAAGAATTACTATTCAGGAAACCCTTCAACGTGTGGAGTGGCGTCGATATACTTCTTCTCCTTTTTTCCCTCAATTACGTCAACAACTCTTAACATGTACGATATCATTAATATTAGCTCTTATGAGTCTTTTAATTCCACGTAATGTTTTGATAGCTGGTTTTGCATTACTTTTTCTTCTTTATCTTTCTTTGGGTGCTTATTCCCATCGAGCAGAGAGTATTGTATTAATTATTCTATCCGCTTATAATATATTGGTACTTGTAGTAACGGCACTTTATCATGTTCCTGTAATTTCAGATCGTATAGTGGAAAGTCTTTCTGATATTACAGTTTGTCAGAATATCACAACTACACTGTGTGCATCAGAGATTGGGCTTATGATAAATAATCGTTTTGTACCAGCTTCATTTGATTTATTACCATGGTATTTACTAGCCGCTCTTTCTGTGGCTCTTTGTAGGCATAGATTTATTATGCATACTGGAAATAGAATAAATGGGGATGTGTATGAGGATGATAGAAGTTTACATGAACGTGAAATGGATTGTATTCAAGAACCACTACTATTGAATAATAATAATAATAATAATAATAATAATAATAATAATGAGAGAGAGGTAATTTCTATAAGACATTCAACGACTACAATGAATCGAATAAAGTTATTCTTTTCTTGTTATAAAGAAATGTATGGTACCTTTACAGGTAGATGTGTACCTCTGGTATTTGAGTTCACACGTTATTTTTACATTATGGTCTCCTTTATTATTAATCTAGGAACGACAAATGGTAAATTACTTGTTTGGATTGCATTAGGGTTTGCCAGTCTAGATACCTTTTCTGTATTAGGTGTTGCTTTTATGATACTTTTTATTCTTAATTGTTGTGGAGTTTCTGTAATGGTAATTGCCGTAGTAAATATGGCATTAAATTATGTCTATCCATTCTTCTTCATTCCAGAAGTTCCTTTACCAGAGAGTGCTAAGCGTTTCTTTGGATTAGAGAAGAGTCATTCACGAAGGGAATTGAGTATTTTACCACCATTGCTCGCCTTTGCAATGGCGGCATTTCATGAACAGACGAAAAAGAATAAAATGTTAAGAGAACGAGAACGAGAAGAACGTCGATTAAGAATAAAAGAAGATCCACGTCATCGTTTAGAAGTAGAAACACATTCTGGAATAGAGAGAAATAATAATACTTCAGATACCTTTTCTGTTAGGGAACAACTTCAAACCCCATATGTTGAATTTAAATCACATAAACAGAAAAATTCTACTTTTCATGAAGAAGTAAAGAGATCATCTCATCATGTAAGTTTTAATTTATTACGGCAAAAACTATCCGTCTTTTTAAATTATATATTTGGAAAGTTTTTACGTGATGTGGCATTTGAAATAGCTATATTGATTGTATTACTTGGTATTTCTTTTGCAGTTGATCATATAACGGGTTTCATATTTGCTGCTGAGTTTTTATTAATGTGGTTAATTGGACGAGTGCGGACCATAACGGAAGTACATTTTGTAATGATGGAGGAAGTTTTCACGGTTATTTCTCTTTCTGTATTATATTTTATTCGCCTTGGAATACCAGATGGTGTTTTTCCCGCTTTTTCTATTCTACATCCAGAGGAATGTGGTTCATGGGATATTTACTTTGGATGTAAACTTCCTGTACATCATTTTATTCTCTTATTTGCGCTTTTAGTAATTCAACGTCGTATACGATTTGCCGTTGGAGATGTACGGCATTCCATTATATGTATTGATGGTTCTTTAGGACTTGGGGAATTACTTCGTAAGAAAGCCAAAGAACTTCAAGATTGTAGAGAACATCGACGTTTAGATATTGAAAATATTCTTCCTACTTCCTCTTGTAACACTATACAGAAGCCCCGTATGATATCTAATATCGTTATTGCTATCTTTGCATTTCTCCCTGCGGCGATGTGTGCATTTGTGCAGGGAGTTCTTCTTTCTTCTCTGTTGGGAGTAGTGATGATTGTCTTTTCACTGTGTTTATTAGCCTTCCGTCGGGATCTTGCCTGGCGTTGGCCTACTGTTTGGCCCATCTTTACACTTCTTCTCTTTCTTCCACTTATCCCGCAGTTGGTGGTCCGTCTTCCGCCTTTTTTCCCTTCTTCTTCTTCTTCCTCTTTTTCTTTTTCTTTCTTTTTGTATTTCTATACTTTATATGGAAAACAACAAGAAGAAGGAAAAGAAGGAGGAGGAGGAGGAGTGCTGCCAACACTCGGAGTGGATCCGTGGCCCGCTTCCTATCGTCTGGGGCAATTGCTGGTAGTGCTGCTCGCCGTTGTGCAGGAGCGATTATTTAATGAGTTCTCCTTCGCATCGTATCTCATCAAACTCCACAAGGGAACCCTCACCGCACGGCAGCGGTACAAAGACATGATTGAACACATCCGCAGACAACATGAGGCTCTGCAGCGAAAAGTAGCGCAGGACGAAGAGGCACTGCGAAGAAAACTCGATCAACTCTGTGCAGAGCGGCATATGAAGATCCAGAGTGAATATATGGAGTGCTCCTTCATGGGCACATCTGCAGCGGTGGGCGTAGGGAAACAAGACGATAAAGAAGAAGAGACATTAGAAGGAGAAGAGAAGGAGAAAAGAGAGGCGTTGGAGTTACAGAGAGAAGGATTACTCTTCTCTGTAGCCACAAGTATAAAGAGTCCAGGGGGTAATTCTATAAAGTCTGAAACGCATAATAATACTATTCAGATTCACACCAAAGAAGAAGAAGAAGAAGTAAAAGAACAAGAACAAGAAGAACAGCAAGAAGAAGAATTAAAAAAACAGTCATGTGTGGAATCCGATGGGATGTTTCCTGAAAAAGGAGTTTCTGAGAAAACAGGATTCTACGCTAGTATGTCAAGTGCTATTCATGAATGGTCTGAAAGTCTTGTACAGTATTTTGCCCAACGAACATACCGTGGAAGAGCCCCTAATAAAATACATTCCCAATCCTATCGTTTACTTGTAGTGTTTACACAATATCTAGTAACAAGAACTGCCTATGTCTGTTTTATTTGTTTTATGTTAAACTATGCAATGAGTGGAACATTATTAGATTTATTACTTTCTCTTTCGGCTGCATTATATGGAATGCTTATACTTCCCTGGGCAGGTAAACTTTATTGGAGAAATGTTCTTATCTATAATGTTATCTCTATTCTTTGCAAGTGTGTAATGCAGGTGATTGTAAAACAATTTGTATTAAATCCTCAGATTCTATATTATCTTTCTATTACTGTTCTGGATATTGGTTTAGACCGAAGTGTACCTTCTTCTTCTGCGATGATGAAAGATATTATTATGGATTTTGTTGTTTTTGTTAGTATTATTATTCATCGACAATTTTCCTTTGATCAAGGTATATTTGATGATGATTATGAAGATGTAACCCCAACACCATTAAATTCTCCAGATTCAAGTGAATTATTATTTTCACGTCATGATAATGGTAGTATTTATTCTTTATATAATCCACATAAAAAAATAAGTGAATATGATTCTGGTAGTGAAGTTCGTTACCATAAAACTGGACTTTCATCATCTAACACAACATACACTGCGGAATTTAAAGGAGAACGTATTGGTAATGGTAATAAAAATACTATATCTAATGGTAATAATAATAATAATAATAATAATAATGACAATGATAATAATGATTATAGTAGTTGTAGTGATAATGAAGAGAATGATGAAAATGGTGAAAGTTACAGTCGATTGGGTCAAACAGGTAAACAAAGATCTTCTTATAGAATAAAATGTTCTATTATACAAAAGTATTGGCGTAATATTTGTGAACGTGATGGAGCTGGATCTGATTATTATACCGTACAATTCTGGGCAGATGGTCTCTCATTAATTGTGTTTGTGGCTGTTTACTTTGTATTAGCGGGTGATTCTCGTGGAAATATTGTTTACAGTGTTCAACAAGATCTTCTTCCAGGACCATTGGTAGTATTACTTTTCTCAGCTGTTATTTTAATAGCCGCTGAACGAATTGTATATGTACTTCATTCTGTACATCTTAAGTTTACACTTCATGTGATAACGACTTTATTATATCATCTTGTCTTTATGTTTTGGCGTCTTGTACTTGCTCAACGTACGACTACACCAGCTGTTATTTTATTAATTGTAAAATTTTTCTCCATGATGATGAGTGGATTGCAATTACGTAAAGGATATCCACTTTATCGAAAGCATGATCCTTTTACCACCAATACAGATGTCTTTCATTGGTTTGGACATACCATATATCGTGCCATACCTTTTCTCTTTGAGCTTAGACTTTTATTGGATTGGTCTGTTTCCCCAACAGCATTGAAAGTTCAACATTGGATGTTATTAGAAGATGTTCATCATACTATTTATTTACGTTATGTAGATATGAGTGATATAGCCTGGACGAGTCCAAGAAAAGGTCGTCAATTTCCATTCTTTGTAAGAGCTTATCAAGGTGTGGTGGGATTTACGGCTTGTCTGTTGGTGCTTTTCTTTCCATTGATGCTTTATTCCACATTTAATCCAAACGTGGGAGCCAATCACGTTACCACGTGGCACACACAAATGACATTTGGAAGTATTTCACATTTCTACACAGCAGACGGCAGCGACACCGCCGTTCCACCGGAACTTCTTCCAAATTTATTAGAAGCCATTCCGCTGTTAAAACAAGAGGGATTCGCATCAGAGGGTTCACTGCAATTACTAATGTTCCCTCGCTGCAGTGCGGAGGTGTGGACTGCCACACCAGAGACACGATTACTTTTATTGGGTCAATTAAATGCGGCTGTGCGGAATGAATCGAAGTTTATTATTCACAAATTAGATGAGGTTCAACGGGCAGAGGCTTCCGTTGGGGCGGCCAAACGTGTACGTGTGAGTGAAGAGTATATACTTCCATGGAGTACAACGGTGAAGTTACGGGATGTTCTTGCCAATGCTCATTATATGAAAAGAAGAGGAGGAAGAGGAAATGATAAAAAAGAGATTCAAACGGTATTGAATTCATCATCTTTGGTTTATCAAAGTAGTGAATGGATTCCCTTACCAGGTTTTTATTCTCCATTAGTGAAAAATATTCCCAGTGATGTTGTCGTGCCGAATTATGTAAAAGTGGAGTGTTTCATTCAGTTAAATAGTGTAGGGGATGATAACGTCTCAGATGCTTTTACGGTATTGTATTGGTGTTTTCGTTGTGAATCCTTTGTGAATCTCTCAAGTTCTACAAATAATAATAATAATAATAATAATAATAATAATAATAATAATAATAAAGAAGAAGAAGGATATCAACAGACCAGTGAAAATAAAGTAAATGCAGATTCCGATAATATTACTGATATGTACGAGATTGTAGCATCATCAGATGTAACTTTCCAATCTTCCTTTTCATTTCTCCCCAATACAGGTATTATTGCTCTTTATACTACATTTATTTTAGCCTTGGGAACTTTTTTGCGTAATGCTGTTACTGGTCATGCGCACCGTGTGGTTCTCATGCAGGTATCTAATCCTGATCCCATTGCGGAGTTATTGCGGTATATTTACATGGCCCGTTCCTCTGCTAGTAATGGGTTTATGGGAAGTCTTTTATTAGAACAACAGTTATTTTTTGAACTTGTGGATTTACTTCGATCACCTGAACGTGTGTTGATATTGAGTGGTCGTCGTGTGGATGACTATGACTCTAATGGAAGGTTTCAACCTTATTTAAAAGAATTGAGTGAACATCCTTTTTAAAAAAATTTTATCTTATTTGAAAACAAGTAATAAGAAGAAGAAAAGAGAAAAATATGTGTTTTTTTTTTTACAGTTTTCTTGGAGTACCCAAGTGACGTGACGATATATATATAAATTTATATAATATACCTGCTCTCTATAATTATTTATTTATTTATTTATTTATTTATTTTTCTTTTTGTTCGCCGTTTGTTTGTTTGTTTGTTTCTTTTCCTAACGATATCGATGTTATCGCTTCTATTACTTTGTTTTCTTTATTGTATTTTTGTTCAGTTTGCTGACTATATATATATATATATATATGGAATGTACTCATTCAGTAATTTCTGCTGTAATCCTATTGTATCTATTTTTCTTCTTTTTTTCCACTATTTGTGTTTATGTTAACATGAATTTCAATAAAGACTTCCTTTATTAGCATTAATTCCGGTTTAAAGTCCACATGCAAAAGAGGCAGCTGCACTATCCACATCATCATCATCATTTCCATCATCATCATCTCCAACACCAGAATTATGTTCCAGTGACCCTTACACACATTCGGCCTGTTGAAGAGAAGAGTAATACGTCTAGTGTGGGTTCTTCTGATAATGTGCAGAAATGGATGGCGTTTGGTCTCAACAAGGATGTTATTTCCTCCGGCTCATTAGGCACTCTACAACTACCAGCAACATCACCAGGAGGAGCTGTGGTGGTTGTGGAAGAAGAAGAGGCGGCCGGTGTTGTATACAGTGTGGAAGAAGATAATAATAATAATAATAATAATAATAATAATAAAGAAAAAAGGAGGAGTGAGAATGACGAGATGGACTCTTCTATTCGTCGACAGTTGATCGCACTTTCATCACGTGTTGGTCATGCAAGAGAAGAGGAAAACTGTGTAGCCACACGCCGAGAGAGGCGTGGGAAAAACACTGAACAAACCCTCCATACAAATACAACAGGTATTGCTAACAGTAATAATAATAGTGGTAGTAGTAATAACAGTAGTAGCCATGATAATAACAGGAACAGGAAAACAAATATGAGTAGTGGAAAGAAACATAACAGAGAGTCTGATGGGGAGTTGGGGGATCATCAACCATTAGTAAAAAGAAGTGCTGTCACTACTACAACTACTACAACTAATCGAAGGAAGACTATAGAAGAAGAAGGTGAAGAAGAAGAAGAGAAAGGAAAGAAATCATCAACTGCAGAAAAGAAGAAAAAAACATCCAATCGAAAAACTTCTACATCTGCGGCTTCGAAACGTCAATTGAAAGAGTCAACTCCTCCAACTTTGTTTAGTATGCCATCGGATTCTTCTTCTGAATCCCGTCAAGTGACAATATCAGTTCCATTTAAGGAAATAGATGATAATAATATTAATTATTTATTTAACGATATACAGGATGCACTTAGTGATCAAAATCGTATTCAAGCACCTACACTTTTTGTAGCCTTTATTACACATGAAGGAGATACAAATTTTTCCATATCTGCGAATACGAATGGTAAAGTTCATTTTGTGCGAGGCGTTAATCCTGAAATGAGTCATTTAAAAATAAAATCATTTATTCTTCGCTGGAAAGATGAAGTATTAGTTATTCCTTCTACTCCAGGGTTAACTTTCCTAGTACGTGTTTTAGAAGAACTTCCTGGAGTTGAAATTGTTACTTTTAATGCTCCTTCATTACTACTTTTACTACTCTCATATCGTCAAGGTAAACTCTTTACCTCCTGTATTTCAGATATACGTCTAATGGCATGGATGCTACAAACATCAGAAGGTTCTGATGCATTTACAGATTATGATGTACTTTTACATTCATCTCATCAACAAATAGGTCTTTCTGCAGGATTTAGAAATGTGATTGGATGTTCACTTAAACAAATTGTTTGTCATCGTGTTTATTATATGGTACCTCTTTACCGTTCACTCTATGGACAACTTGGAACTCTTGGATTATTACCAGCATTTCTTAAACAAGAGAAACGTATATCTCTTCTTTGTGCATCTATGAAATTAAATGGATTTACTGTTAATATGTCAGAAGTAGAAGGTTTTAAATTACGTTGTGCTTCAAAAATGGAAGAACTTCAAGCTTCTGCTCAGAAACTTCTTCCATCTATGCCAGATTTTAATCTGCAAAACTTAGATGAATGTAGAATAGCTATATATGAAGTTCTTCGTCTTGGTACATATCTTACACATACAGAATCTGATGGATCTAGTAGTTGTGCTGTAACTGTTACTAAAAGTGGTAAACTATCAACTTCAGAAGAAACATTAAAACTTTTAGCATCTCATCATGAATTTCCTCGTATTCTTATTGCGTACAGAAAAGCTGCAAAACTTCTTCAAACCTATACTGTTGGGATGATGGAAACAGCTATTCCTCTTGTAAATGATGAGGGAGAATTTACAGATCGTTGTATCACGGATGGTGGAAATACAAATACTAGTGAAAAAAAACTTGGTAATGAGAAAACTGTGAGTGATTCTAGTATAAAATGGGTTAAATTGTATCCTAATTTTATTCAAGAGGGTACGGATACTGGACGACTTTCTTGTGTGGAGCCAAACTTGCAGAATCTTCCACGTCCTCGTGTAATTGATGTTGATGATGCCCGTGTGGCCCATGAGGCGGAGATGGCTTCCTTTCGTCGCTGTTTTGCGGCCCCTGCCGGGTGTACACTTCTCTCTGTGGACTATGAGCAGATTGAACTCCGCGTGCTTGCGCATCTCTCCGCGGACGCGGCCCTCGTGGAGGCCCTCACGCACGCCACCGACATCCACCGCGCGATTGCGGAGACGCTCTTCCGCAAGTCGCCTGTGAGCGGCGATGAGCGGGCGCTGGCGAAGCGGGCGGTGTTCGGGACTCTCTACGGCGCCGGGCCCCGCACCCTCGCGGCCCAAATGGGCGTCCCGCTCGAGCGGGCGATGCGCGTCGCGGCGCTCTTCCGCGCGGCCTTCCCGCACGTCGCGGAGTTCCACCGGCGGGTGATCGCGCAGTGCCGCGCCGACGGCGGCGTGCGGACGTTGAGTGGGCGGCGGCGGCGGCTGCAGGACATCGACGATCGCGTGATGGGCCGCCGCGCCGGGGCCGAGCGGCAGGCATTCAACACCGTCGTGCAGGGAAGTGCGGCGGATGTGGTCAAGTTGGGCATGCTCGCCGTCGAGCGGGAGGTGCTGCGGCCCCACGCCGGCGAAGTGAAACTGCTCGCGCAGATCCACGACGAACTCGTGCTCGCCATTCCCACAGATATGCTGCAGCGCATAGTGCCTCTCGTTACGCAGAGCATGGCTCACGCCGTCTCGCTCCTCGTGCCACTCCGCGTAACGGCCAAAGTGGGACGGTCACTGGGAGAAATGGAGGAATGGTCAGTAGATCATGATTTGGGTATTCGCGAAATACCGTAAAAGAGGAGTTTATTCGTCTGCTTGTTTGTTTGTTTGTTTGTTTGTGTGTGTGTTGTAAAAA